GCAACTCCTCAGCCGCTTGTTTGTATTGCCTCATTCTCCTTTCCTTAGCCTCGTATGAGCCCTCAATCTGGCCCACCACTAGCTTGGAGTCGCACCTGATTCTGATGTGCCGTGCTTTGAGGCCGGCGGCGAGCCTGAGGCCGCTGAGGAGGGCCTCATACTCGGCTTCGTTGTTGGATACCCTGAATTTGAAGTGGATGGCATAGTAGACTCTGAATCCTTCAGGGGAAATGAGGACGCCGCCGCCACCACAAGCTTTGGCGGCCGATGAACCTTCAGTGAAGAGAGTCCATGCTTCGTCTGGCTCTGGCCCGGGCGTGGTAGCGGCCGTCTCCCTGGCTGCGCACTCGGTGACGAAATCGGCCAAGGCCTGTCCCTTGATGGATGGCCTCGGCTTAATCTCGATTTGGAACTGGCTGAGAAAGATCGCCCACTTCACCATTCATGAGGAACTGGTGGGGCTCCGCATGAGTGCACCAAGGGGTTGCTGAGTTAAGAGGTGGACGGCATGGGCCTGGAAGTAGTGCCCTAGCTTTTTCACCGTATGGATGATGGTCAGTACCGTCTTCTCAGTGGGGGAGTACCTGAGCTCGGCCTCCCATAACGTCTTGCTTACGTAGAATATTAGCTTCTGTACCCCTTTATCTTCGCGGATGAGCACGGAACTGATGGCCGACGTGCTCACCCCTAAGTACAAGAAAAGGGTTTCACCAGCTTTGGGTTTGGAAAGCACAGGGGGGACGATAAGTACCGCTTAAGTTCCTCAAATGCTTGCTGTCACTCCGTCATCCATCTGAAACCATTTGCCTTGCGCATGATCTGGAAGAAAAGGAGAGACCTTTCAGCCGATTTCGAGAGGAAACGGTTTAGGGCAGCAAGGCGTCCCGTCAGTCGTTGTACCTCCTTCAAATTTCGTGGTGGCTCCATGTTGACAATGGCATGTATCTTCTCTGGATTGATTTCAATGCCCCTTCGGCTGACCATGTAGCCGAGGAACTTGCCCCCCTGGACGCCGAAGGTGCACTTCTTTGGATTCAGGCGGAGTTGGAACTTCCTTATGTTTCAAAGATCTCCCGGAGGTCGTCGGCGTGGCAGGCGGATTGCTTGCTCTTGACGATCATGTCGTCAACGTACGCCTCCATCGTCCGGCCGAGGACTGCTATGAAGACCTTGGCTACCATTCTGGTGTACGTGGCGCCTGAGTTCTTGAGCCCAAAGGCCATGACGAGGTAGCAAACATTCCCTCCGGGGTCATGAAGGTCGTCTTCTCGGCATCATCCTCATGCATGAATATCTGGTGGTACCCCCTGAAGGCGTCAAGGAATGACATCAGCTCGCACCCCGCCGTCTCATCCACCAATTGATCAATGTTGGGGAGAGGGAACGGGTCCATGGGGCACGCCTTGTTCAGGTCAGTGTAATCAACACACATTCTGAACGTCAAAGGCTTCTGGGCGAGGACGACGTTGGCCAACCAGGTCGGGTACTTCACCTCTTTGATGTGGTTGATTGAGAGGAGCATGGTAACCTCCCCTTTGACGAAGTCACATCTGTCGGCCGAGAGATAGCGCCGCTTCTGCTTGATCGGCGTGGAGGCGGGGTCGACTGACAGCCGGTGAGTGATCACTTTTCGGCTGATGTCAGGCATGTCGCCCGGCCCCCACACAAAAATGACTGCATATGTCCACAGGACGTCGAGGATACTGTTGCGTTGGTCCTGTGGGAGTTGTTTCCCGATTTTCAGGACCCGCTCCGGCCGGAAGGTATCCAGGGGGACCTCATCAACCTCTTCGGTTGGCTCGGCGTGCGGCCTTTCTTCGTCTTTGGAGACGGCGGCGGTGATGGAGTCTATTATCTGTCCGGTGCTAGCTGCCGGCTATGTCAGCTTCAGGTAGCATGCCCGGGCTATCTTCTGGTTCCCCCGAGCGTAGCCGATACCGCCACTGGTAGGGAACTTCAAGCATACATGTTTCATGGAGATGATGGCTTCCAAATCCTCTAGTGCTGGCCGCCCCCATATCAAGTTGTGGGTGCACTCGAGGTTGACCACCATGAATTCCATGTCGATCTTGGTGCGATGGGAGCCGTCGCTGACCTCCACGGGGAGGACTATCGTGCCATCGGCGTCGATAGAGTCCCCGGTGAAGCCAGACAACGGTGTCCGTATCGGCTTGAGCAGCGCTCTGTCCAGCTTTAGCTGTCTGAAGGTGTCAAGGTAAATGACGTTGACGAAGCTCCCTGTGTCGATGTAGGTGCGGTGGATGATAGAGTCACCTATTTCGCACTGGATGACGAGGGCGTCCCTGTGTGATGCGGACCCCGGAGGTAGATCCTTGTCGGTGAAGGTGATCGCCTCTGCCCGTTGTTTCTTTGGCTGGGGGGGGGGGGGCGTGGGACACCTCCCCGATGTAAAGGGATTGGGCCCATTTCTTCCTCTGGGTGGCCAAGTCCCCCCCGGTGTTGCCCCCCACAATGAGGTTGATGTGGTTTTTCTTCGGAGGGGGCTCTTCAAATTCTTCGTCGTCATCGCTGAGTCTGCCAATCTCGCGCTTCTTCGCAGAGGGTTCGCCCCCATGTTTGCCGGTATTTACCCACGTATTTTTGCGCAGGCCACCTTTAACAAACTCGGAGAGTTCCCCCTGACGAATTAGCTTTTTGATGGCTCTCTTCAGGGTTACGCAATCGTCCGTGTTGTGGGAGGTGTTCCGGTGGTAGCGGAAGTAGGTGTCGCCCTGATGGACGGTGTAGATCTCCTTGGCCGACCTAGGGTCTCGCTCGATGAGGTCGTGCTCCTCGGTGTAATCGAGGATGGAGCTCACCGGATGAGTAAGTGGGATCTTTGGCCTCTCCATCCTCGGCCGCCATATGCGGTCTTTGTTCTTTCCGCCAGATCCATGGAGGCCTTGTCCTCCATGACCTCGGTCCCCGGCCGAGGGTGCGCCTGCAGCTGGTGCGGCGTTTGTCTTGTTGGAGGGGTGCCCTCCGTCCTTCTTGTGGCTGTGGAGCTCGTCAGCGTCAGCGTACAAATTCCCTCACTGAAGCGCCTTCAGATAGGACCTCGGTGGGTCAGTGATGAGGCTCCTCGCATACGGGGTGCTGTGGAGAGCACCCTGAAACAGGACCAGGAGGGTGCGCTCATCGGCCCCCTCGACCTCATCAGTCTCCCCCGTCCATCGGTCGATGAACGACCAGAGTGATTCGTCATGTTGCTGCTTGACGGAGAGAAGATGGGTGAAGTACTTCTTCGCGCGCTTCCTTCCGGCAAAGTGAGTGAGGAAGCGCTGGGCAAGGTCCTGCCACGAGTCTATGCTCCCTTCAGGGAGCGCGTTGAACCACTCGTATTCTGGCCCTTCAAGGGTGGAGAGGAACCAATGGCAGAGGTATTCATCTGACGCGTTCACCATCAGCATATTGTTCTGGTAGCGGCTGAAGTGCTCTTGGGGGTCGGAACGGCCATCGTAAGGCTTGATGGCGTTTCCCCGGTACTTCTCGGGGATGGGGGCCGAGAGTACCCTGGCGGTGAAGGGAGTCCTCGTCCTGACCTGGATGATGGGGTCTCCTCGTCCTTCAGCCAATTCCCTCTCAAGGATGGTGACCTTGTTTAGAAGGGCGTTAAAGCCGGGATCTCTGGATGAGTTGCCCGCGGGGGTGGTGGCCTCTGCTTGGCCTCCATCTGGGCGAGCTTTCGCTCGAGGTGTGCGATTACCTCGTCCCTGGGGTTCCTGGCGGCCGTAGTGGCGCCCTGCGTCTGCAAGCGGGCTGCGTGAGCCGTGTTGATTTGGTGTCGGGCATCGTCCTCATGCAGTTTCCCCTTGCCTTTATCCAGGCGGGGCCTATCCGCTGTCCGGGATACCGACCCCAAGCTTTCCCTGGGTGAGCCAGGCTCACGCTAACCAATCCGTCCCGCCATCCTCTTCGAAGCAGGCCGACGGCACGTGTCACCTAGCTTGTTAAAGGATGAGGCTTTTCCACGCGCTGGGGTCGGTCCAGCTCGAAGTGGGGAAGCAGTGTGGGAGTGGGACGATGTCGTGTCCTGAGGTACCACCCCCTCATCGTTGCCTAGCCTAATGGCAAATGGCTGGGGTTGAAGAGGCGACGTTGTGTTCTCCCCCGTCCTTGGCATGAGTGCGCTGAGGACGGTGGGATTCTGGGCCAAGCTGGCGATGATGGACGAGAGTGCGGCCTGAAGCTGAGGGTCAACAGCAGGAGAGACCGGTTGTGCCGAGGCGTCGCCTTTTTTCGCACACTTTTTGTCCAAGCCGATGTGGGCGTCTGGAGCGCCGCCGTTGAGCTTGTTGCGCAGGTCTCCTGCGAGGTCGATGGCTTCCTGGAAGACATCCCCCTCGGCGGCCCTGTCGGCCGTAGCATCCTCCTCGTGCTCTTGGTTCTCATGTGCCTCAGGGATGGCCTTGTTGAGGAGGTTGCGGTTTGACTTAGTTCTTCCCATTGTCAGTTAGCTGTGCTTGGTAGCGACGAAGGAGGCTAATTGATTGTTCTAGCTCTCAATGAAAGCACCAAATGATAGACTATAAGTTTAGAGAGAAGTGAGAGCTAGAGAGAGAAGTGCTATATTTGCTCTGTATTAATGATTTTGTGAACCCTTACAACTACTCCCAGAGGGAGTATTTATAGGAAAAATTAGGGCTGGGCTCCCAAGTCTTGGGCTTGGGAGGCCCATTTATAATAGGGCCACTAATGGGCCGGATACAAAGTGCATAGAAAAGATTAAGTGTAAATCATGTTCTGTGGCCGACGAGGGCATGGCCGACGATGACCCGGTCGACGAGGTCACCCGGCTCTTCCTGGCTTCTGGATCACATTCTGAGTAGACTTCTTTCTGGCCGATGGAGGTCATATGGTCGACGAGGGTCCCACCATGTGGTCGTGGTACCTTCAGTTCTTTCGAGTATGTGGGCCCTGGGGTCCAGGCCCATATACTCCATCAAATAATAAATTAGAATTAAGAAGGAAACTCAAAGCTATCACGACTACATAGTTACCATGACTGCACTCCACATGTGTTCCTTTTCTCTTTCTCCGATATCATTCCATTTGTGCACTTTCAATGGGCACATATTTGTATCTCGTACGATAATCCCCAAATGTCTCGCCCATACATTGTGATTATTCCCAACCGCTCGATTATTATAGAAAGTTATTACAAGTTTTGACCAGGTTTAAGCCTCGCTGCCTCTTTACATTTGTTTCTACCTCTCCTCTTCTCAATCCCAGATTTCTTCTTTTTCGTACCAGATCCTTGACCTTCAACCATGAAAACATATGGATCAAAGCTTTACATTGTTGTAATAAACCAATTTCGCAATACGACTATAGAAGTTTTAGATTTGAACTTTATTTATTAAACAATAACTTATTACGAGTACACAAGTTCGTGTGACAGTTCGTGTATTCTTGTATGTTATTAAATTTGTGGATTTTAAATAATAACAAAATATAAAATATTGCAATTTATTGAAAAATGTTTCTCCAAGTGTTGCAATATCAAAGTATTGCCTTTGCATTTAAATGTGTTGCTTTAGTTTTTTGGAGAATGATGTTGCCCTAGCCAAAATAGTTGCAACACATTTTAGTTTGTTGCTATAGGCATCTATGGCAACGCCCAAAATTTCAACACTTTGTAAATTGGAAAAGTGTTGGCATAGATTCCTAAGACAACACATTTGGGTATAATGCAACATTTTTGAAGTGTTGCCTTAAGCCATTTATAGTGTAGTGTGATCATGGCCTCAGACCAACAAGGTTGAATACAGAAATATTAATAACATTACTTGCCAACACAAAGTGAACTTGAAAAAGGAGGATATGGTCCGAGTGCACTCCCTATTGATTGAATCACATTTGATTCCCCTAAGCAATTCTGCCGGTGACTCAATTAAAACAGTTAGAGAAGAACTCTAAAACTCTAATCGGCAGATTACCACAAACCCCAATCAACAAAAATTCACCAACTTTCTGGATGGTTCAAGTTTACTTTAATTGCTAAATTCTGCTATTTTGTTCCTTCTCTTGGTGATATTGAAAAGGCCTTTTTGAGTAATAATATTAGGGAATCATTTAAGCTTGAGATTATGGATAAAAAAACATGTGTATCTGATTTTGAAATGCACATTTGATTTTAAGCCAGACACCGAATCTCCTGTTTCCAAATAATATACATCTATATGCAAGTTGTCATCAAATGAAGCAGAAGTCAGGGCCAGCCTCAATATTTAGGCCTATCTAACTTAACTATAAAATGCTTTTAACGTTTTTAGTTCTTGGTTTTGAAAGTTTGACCAGAAATATGATATCAATGATCTTTGTTACACCATCTTGGTTCATAGCATAAACCTATTGACCTATTGGACATATTTTTGAGTGAAGTATTCTGGGTATGTAGAGTCCTGGGTATTCCTGGATTACAACATTAAGTCATTAATTGTCTTTATCGCATTTGGTTGAGTACTTTTTGTTTCCTTTTCAGGTTAGATTAGCAAATAATACTTGCTCTTCGGCCAAGCAAAACATGGATGAATATGAAACTCATTCCACTGTTATGGTAAGTCGCTATCTACAATTCCTAAAATGGTCCAAACACTTTATTGAAATTTCCTAAGAAAAGTGCGTTTTTTCAATGTTTATTCAGTTTTGTTTATTTATTTTGGCAGAATTGTTGGATCTGTCGTCTCAAAGAGAGATGATACGAAGGACGAATCAGGGATTCAGCCATGGAAATACACACAACAAATAAACCAAGCAATTCAACGAAGCAATTAAACCGACCAAGCAAATCAGCAATATAGATTACTGAAAACTTATCAACACAAGAAGATTGGAATAATAAATATTGAAGATTGCACTGACATGGAGCAAGAAGATTGAGCAAACCTATGAGCATAAGATCAGCGAGGAGATATGAGATGAAAGATAGCTAGAGCGGGATATAAGACTGAGTGATGGTTGCTTAATGATCGAGCGAAGCAAGGATATATTGATTCACTGAGAATCCCTTAAGTAGCAGATCGGCGTGGCAAGGCGATTATTCGAGAATCGCAGCAGATAGGGCAGATCAGCGTGATGAGCACCCTTAGGCGATAAAGATCGATTAGCAACGTATGTACTGATCGAACGAAGATGGAGCTTAGGGAAAAATAATTAAGCGCTGCTACGGACTGAGATTAGGTCTAGTTGCCACTGCCTCATGATAGGAGTACGTATGCTACGGAACGAAGATCGATTGCTACGGACTCCTGGCTTATGGAGCGAAAATATTTGGGATTTGGAAATTTTGGCGCTCGATTGATGTTTTCTTCTCCAATTCTTAGAAAAATAAATTAATTAACAATTTGATTAGTAATAACGATGACTAGACATTTTGATTAATAACGACAAGTTTTAATAAATAGTCGTTAATGGTAAATTCAATAACGATGACTTTTCATAAATACTCGTTAATGATAAATTTAATAACGACGAACTTATTAGTCATTGTTAAAAGGCATTTTTAACGACAATTTGTGAGAGTCGTCGTTATAGTGTGGTCGTTAAAAGTCCTTTTTCTTGTAGTGAGTCACTGTGCTAGTGGTCAGTGGTCACTGCTCGACATTCATTGTGGCAGGTCAGGTCATTGGACAGGGCAAGACAATCAGGTTAGGTCATTGGACGGGGTGGGATAGTGACTAGATGTCGAGTGTGATCATTGCAGCGACGGGTCACTGGGATCGGATGGTAGGTTTCTGTGCAATTTGTCACTGGGCATTTGTCATTGTAGCATTTGAGGGAGTAGGAGTGTAATAGCCTCTTGGTATCTTTCTACTCTCTTTTTAGAAACTTAAAAAATGTCACTTTTTTGTTCATTTGTTATTTATTATTACATACATAGTAATTAATATTAAATTCCTAAGCCCTATTTTTGTTGTATTAAAAAAAGAAAATTCATTAAAAATGCATACTTTTTATAGTTGGATGATTTGTGAGGCCTATTCAAGAGGCAAACATTATATCTGAGTTAGGTGAGCGGAATAGTAATTATACCAAGTTTAAATATTAGTGAGGTGGACTAAATATAAGAAATGAAAAAAAAAAGCACTAAAAAAATTGAAAAATAAAACCTTTTGAAATATCAGTATTGACGTGTGTGGTTCACGGGGTGGGGCGAGTCCACCTATTAAAGTCACGGGGAGGTTCTAGGTCTTGCACTATCCGACCCGACCAATTGTCGTGCCTACCACTGTCACCACCACTAGACTGTCCTTTACTGATAACAAACTAACTCACTTATTTAAGGGAACTATGAGGGGCAATTAGTTATATTTATTAATTACATTAGGGGTATTAGTGATATAAAAATAATGTTTACTTCTATTTAGGGAAGATGAAAGATAAAATTCTATTTAAAGAAAAATGGTTGAATCTTTAATTTGGAATTGAACATCCCATTTCACTTGAGAAGCACTTAGCTTAGTGTTTAGTAAGAAAGCATAATTGTACACTACAAAAAAAAGGGGTTTTAACGACCACCATACGACGACTCTAAAAAAATTGTCGTTAAAAGTTTCTATTAACAATGACTAATGAATTCGTCGTTATTAAAATTTATCTTTAACGACCATAATGAAAAGTCGTCATTATTAATTAACGTGTAGTTATGGTCATTTCTGAATATATTTTTTATATATATTATTTTAAAAATTCAGTTGCGAAAAAATCAAACAATTTGAAATTTATCCGCCAAAATTTTCAACTCCAATTGTTTTCGTTCCCTAACCTGCTTTAACTAAATCGGTTAAAGAGAATAAACCCTATCTTCCAATTTGTTTCATTCTCGTCTCTCGTATTGAAGTACTCAAGCCAAGCCTGTGCCGCATTCATCTCTCTGAAGCCAGACCTCGCCACCTTCGTCTCTCTGAAGCCGGGCCTCGCCGTCTTCATCTCTGGCACACTGTTAACCTCGATGAACTGATTCGGCTCAGAAATTCCGTGATTCAGTCGCCCTATACAGGTACGTTTCTCCATTCACGCTGACCCAATCTTCTTAAAATCGTTAAAAGCTCCATTAATCGACAAAATGCATTCAAAAAGTCGAACAACGTCTGGGTTTTGAGAAGCCACGCTGCGTCAGAAAGCTTGGCTTTTCCGACACTTTTTTTAGCTCACGTAATCGAAAAGAGGTTGCATGTCAATTAGTTTTTTTAAAAGAGGTAGGGTTGTCGGGGTTGTCAAGGTTTATCAAATTGGGGGTCGTTCGGTTCTTTCCAGACTCCAGACAAAGCCGTCAGCAAAGAAATTGCCTGTGAGTTCGCCCAGACAGCCTGGCTTCGTTCTCTATCTCGACCTCTCCAGTCTTCATGTGTGAGTTACTCTATTTTTGCTGATATTTTGATATAAAATATTTAAGTACTCTGTTTCCAGAACATATGTTTAACCTACTATGCATCTTTTGTGATATTTTGATTAATATTTATCAATGGTGGGACAACAATTCATTATATGTCTTTATTTGCAGTTAACAATTTCTCTGGTCATTTGCCTTTACATTTCGTAGTTTTCAAGAATCTCTCAGTTGTTAACTTGTCTAGCAATAGGTTCAGTGATAGCATTTCCATTTTGGTTCAGTGATAGCATTTCCATTTAGTGATAAATCAGCGAAATGGTTCTTCTTGATTCTGAGGCTCAATAACTCGATCTTCTCTTTCTTCCAGGTTATATAAATCTTTAGTTCTTACTGTTCTAATATGGATTTAAGCTTTCTTGTAATCTATAGTGCCTTAAGCTTTTTAACTGATGTATGTGTGTGTGTGCCTATATATGTGCGTGTGTCTAATATGGATTTAAGGTTTCTTGTAATCTGTAGTGCCTTAAGCTTTTTAACTGATGTATGTGTGTGTGTGTGCCTATATATGTGTGCGTATTCGTCTTTAGTTCTTACAGTTCTTGCTGTTCTAATATGGATTTAAGCTTTCTTGTAATCTGTAGTGCCTTAAGCTTTTTAACTGATGTATGTGTGTGTGTCTATATATGTGTGCGTATTCGTCTTTAAAATCTTGAGTAATTTTGCTACTTAAATTCAATTGCAGTCTTGCTTGATTTCTCGCTTGCTAAATCTCTGGGAGTCTTGCTCGATTGCTTTCTCTCTTGTTCAAGGTAAGTTCAATTTAACTTTTCGTCACCAATTTTCAAATTTTTTCTGAATCATTTTTGAATATTTAGTGTTCTGCAGTCTTTATTGTGTGAGTTGTTGCACAACTGTTATCGAAACTCTTGAAACACTTATTTTTCATGGAAAAATTATTTATCTATTTTTCTATATTAAAATTTGCTGGCTTTTTGTTTGGCTTAAATGCAATCGCAATTAGATCGAGCAGACTTTAAAATATTTTTAAAAATCTAGAGCTATTGTATTCTAAATTGTAGTTTGTGAAGCTATTTTCTTTATAATGAGAGGTTTAGATGAACACTCAATAAGCATTAGATTTATGAGTGAGAGCACTTAAGTGTTAATGTGTTATGGAATATAGGTTGTGAATTACTGAATTATAATAATAACTTTTTGATTCTCAATTTTTGATTAACCGGGTCTGGTTGGGGTATGTAGGAGTAAATACTTCCAAAGATATTAGATTAATATTAAAATCGAAATAATGTTCATGTGTGACGCAGGAAAAAGCAGCTACACTTGGTTTTGGAATGAAAAATATGAACTGCTTTCATGAACCCAATGCAAAACTACAGACAATCAGGTTTGCTTGCATCGGCTTCGACTATTTTGGTGTATGGTTCACATTTTCTTGTCTAAGATAAAATAAGTATAAGGTCTTATATAACAATTTGCTACTTGTTAAAGTAAATAACACAAACAGCGATTTGAAGTTTACTACTCCAGACCTTAAGATATAATATAATTCCAATATGTATGTTTGATGGATTTTTTCTTTGGTTTTAGTTTTTAGTAAATAAAGTCTTATACTTCAGACTTGAATTTAATTTGATTCTGTTACGCGTTTTGTAGGGTTATGAATTACTTGGTTATGCTTCTGAGCTTTTTTTTTATTCATGAGGAAAATCCAAAAAGAGGTTTACATCAACTAAGAAACTCTAATCATATAATGATAAGTGGGAGAAAGTGGCAAAGGTGTGTGAGATATCAAAGTGAGAATGACAATAGTGAAATTTCCAATTTCTTCTTAGTATTTCCATTTTTACAGAATCATTGCTAGAGTTTGCACCGTTGGATTTCTGTGAATTTTCAGGTGAGGTTTCTAGACATCTAGTTCTTTATATGGAACGGTGGAGATCAGATTTAAAGGTCTGGAAGTTTGTCGTTTTTCATGCCCAGAATTGTTGCAGTCTTCTCTATTTTAATTTGTTGGAGTTCTTAATCTTGAGGTTTGCTTCCATTTCCATATGTTTGATGTGTTGTTCCAAGAGCATGATATTGGTTGATGCTTTCCCCTAGTCTTATCTAGTGTGTATACATTGTATTTTCCCATGATTGGATTATTAGTGATAGTGAAAGTTTATGCAGTCTACAAGTTCCATGGTTTTATTCCTCTTTGTGAGGTGGACATCATGTAAAAGTCCTTGCTATTGTGCCTTAATTTGTTGGAGTTTCTGTTTGGTATAGCTCTAAATGTTAGTTACATTGTAGATTCATTCAAGTTGGCAAAGGTTAATAAGGTTTCTCCATTACTATTTTTGAGTTTACTTGTATTTGTTTCTGTTTTCAACTAATAGCATTTCACATCATATGCTTCTATGTTGCAGGATGAAATTGGAGTGGAAGGAAAAAGATCCATTACTTTCCACTATCAGAGGCAACTATATCCCACTTGTTATTACTGCTTTGATTTGGTGTTATCATATGCTTTAGTTCATTTGGATCACAATCATCACATCAATGTCTAAATGGAATATGTTTCTATGGTTAGTTTCTGTATTGCTCTCTTCCATATAGTGGACTTCGAATTTTTGGCTATTTATTCAGTTGTATTAACATAGTGTATCTGTATATATTCCTTATCAAATTCTAAATTATATCCTGTCTTTTTTGCAAGGTGTTTGAATTGAAGATAAGAAGTTGCGACAAATCAGTTTTCACAAGTTCCTCTATAAAATAGTTGTATTTATTATATTCAATCGTTCAAGAATAACAATCCATTAGTATGGAATGTTTGAGATTTTATTATGTACATATGAATGAATGATTCTTCCAATTATAATTGATCGTGATTAATATTTTTGTTTTTGGATTATTTTATTGTTGTATTTAGTTTTGCTGAATATATACAATATAATTACTTGTGCTAAAATATATTGTTTACATATCTTACTTTTGTCCTAAGCAATCAAAAGCAAAGACCAATGTTTCATAATATTCTCAGGTAGAAATCGTATGAGTTCCTATCTCATCTTTAATAATTAATTTATAATGTGGAACAGTGGAAGTTTTTGTTGTTACTGTATAACGACGACTATGAATTGTAACAATGAAATCTTATGTTGTCGTTAAATACTAACGACGAATATGTTCGTCGTTAAACACTTACGACGAACATAGTCGTCGTCAAACACTAACGACGAACATGGTCGTTAAAACCTTTAACGACGGAGCCTATAACGACCACTTGACGACCAAATAAATTTCGTCGTTACAATTTTTAACGACAAAAATTTAGCCATATAACGACCAACTCTTTTGTTGTTAAAAACCCTTTTTCCAGTAGTGGTATGAGTAGAGTATACATAACTTGTAAGTTGTAACTTATAACTATCATTCGTGCTTATACTATTTTATTACTTCGTATATTTTAAAATTGGATTTAGATTAGATATAACGTATGCCTAATCAACAATAACACTAAATCAAGGATAATATGTGATCAAAATCAGAGCTATAATCAAAACCCATTTCCATTCATTCTACAAATTGAAAAGCTAATTGCTTCGTTACACCAACTGTAGTAATTCCCTTTAAAAAAACTGTAATACTCCCCTTTACTATAATTGTCTACTTACATCGTGTATACAAATTTCTCCAAAAAACAAAATTATAGGAACCTAAGCTATATACTATGTTACTCAGCTCTTAGCATACACCAGTATTTAATTTCTTTTGTACAATTAATAAAAGAAAAACGTGCGTTATATCGGTTACACACTTTTAGTATGATTGTGTTGCAAAAAAACCCTTTTAGTGGGATTTAATGATTAACGAACGGTCATCGGTAACCGCCACCCGCCGCCGCAGCAAAGCCCTTAACATCACACCCTTTCATGACTCTCAACCTTGTGCAAGAGTTAAGGAACATCTGCCACGGCACGTCTCCCACGAGCATCCAGTCGCCGTCCCTGTCCTCGTACGTCGGAGCGTAGTCGGCTCCGTCGTACCCTTCTCTCTCCGAGTACACCCCAATTCTGCATTTAAACATCCTCTCCAATGCCTTCACCAGCTCCGTGTAACCGTTATAGATCGTCACATCTATCTTCCTCATGTACGCTGCTCCGTCCATACTCACTTTCACGTACTTTCCTGCCCCTCTCCCTTCCCCCGACTCCTCCGATTTCTTCATCGTCGTCGTCGTCTCCATCAAATTTTTCCGATATAATCGTACCGGCGGCCATCCTACGACTTGAACCCTGATCAAATCATCCATTTTCGCACCAAGTCAATACTTGTAATATCATGATATATAAGCAACATAGCCAAAAATGTCACGCCAATCTTACTTTTTCTTATTATTATTCAGCGTGTGAAATCAAAATTTACGTGTTTAGTGAAAAATTGATCGATGACAAGTCTAATAAATCGAAAAATCAGGGTCACCAACGGCTCTTAATTATTGTACGTAAGTACTTCGTATGTAATTGGTTGCTACTTACTTAGGAGCTGGGGCGGACGTTATCTCATCGTTCTCCGATGAAGATCTCTTGTTGTTTCTTAGACTGGAAGGAGTTCTTTCCTTCTCCGGTGACGCTGTCCCCGGCAACCCTAACCGCAGTTCGGTTGCCTTGAGGTTGGCGGGATCGCTTTTGTAGGTTGTAAGCTTCTGGTGAATCTCCATTAATTTAAGATAATTTCACGAGGTAATTAAATTGGTCGGCCGGATACTCAGATTGAAGAAACGATGAACGTCCGATGAGTCTCCGGCGAGAGGATATAGATAAGTAAGATAACTGGAAACGCAAAGGCTACGTACTTTATATAGTCAACCGATCGATTTGGGTGGGCCGATCACGTTGCGTGCATGACTTTGCAGACAACATATGGTGATGACAGCACGCGCTTAGTGTGTGCGTTTCACTGCAGAACGAATTAGGGGTGGAGGTGTTATCGACGCGCGGTGGAAGGGTGGGTCATGGGTGGAGGGTAATGTTAGGTTAAGTAGACAGGAAATAATGGTTTACAGATGTGGGTGCCGGTGGTAAGAGAGGCAAGTGTGGGGCTTATAGCGACCTGCCGAAGCTGTGTTGGGCCCCAAGTGAGAAAGGGTGGAATCGGGGTTTAAAACTTTCTCATGTTTGACCGGTACGAGAAGTAATAAGGTAAAAATTATGTGATTAACATTTGCGAAGAGAGAGAGAGAGAGTTAACCAGAACTACAAATTCTTTATAAAATAGAAAATTGATAAAGTTAATGGGACATCAAAAGAAAAATTGGCAACATTTTTAAAGGACAAAAGGAGTATGTAACCGGTAAATGCAGCTCAACCGGTAAATAGGGGGTGACACAAGGGGTAAGTCTCGAGTTCGAATCCCGACAACTGTGATGAGATATTACTATGGTCAAATGGATAGTGCGCCTGCAAATATCAAAGTCACAACCACACTCTCTATCTGTCATTTTGCGATTAAAATTAATTTACATCCTCCCATCTATCTATCCGGTCGGGATTACTTTGTTAAAATGGATAGTGACCCTGCAAATATCAAAGTCAAAACTTCACTTTCTGTCTGTCGTCGGTGTTGAGGGACCTAGAAGAATTGTGTATCATCCTTTTTGAAAGGAGTATGAAGTAAGACATGTGAGGTGGGGCCATTCTTGTCGGGTGATGACTTGTATGGGTTAGGCAATACTGAATTTCAAAAGGGATGCACGTCTGTGCTGTCTGATATGTGGGGTCATACAAAGACGTCTACCGCCCGTCGATCATAAATTAATTGATCGGTCCCTTTTAGTCCATTTTGGGTGTCTCTACCCTAAGACAAAATCTTTGAGTGTGGATTCGTTTGTTAAACATCTGGTTGAATTTCATTATTTCCCCACTTTTGCTTTGCTTTTTTACTCTTCCATTCTTAATTAATCGTCTCCAAAGGTTTTGAGGTTTCTCAAAAGAAAATACTTACGGTATTAAAAAAGAAAAGATGAACATATCATTAAAAACATCTCAAAAGAGAATACAAAGACAGTTATTACTAGAAAACAGATGAAATATTACGGAGTATGTCATTTATAATCAAAATAACCTTCCCGTTATTATTATTATTATAACACGATAATCACGTGTGTTGTTGTAGGGAAGTGAGAGAGGTGTATTCATTCCATTAGTAAGCCCCTTTAAATAGGAGGGATTATGGTTTTACAAGGAATGAGTAAATGGGTCAATTAGCTCAATACATATAATCCCTAGATACACTTTCTATCTATAACGAATGCACTTTAAAGTAATTTCCTTCAACACTCCCTCTTGTGCCGAGTTATAGATAGAATGATTGTATGAGTCTTGTTGCCTCATCAAAACTCTGTCAAGTAACAAAAATCCTGTGGGAAAAAAATAACCTTGACTGGAGAAAAAGGAGTATAGCATCAAGATAGGCTTCTTTCATTAAGTCTATCTTTATTTGATCTTTGCTTTGATCATTAAACTTTACTTGTATCGTTACCTCATTAAAAACCTTACCAAGTAACAAAACCCAGTGGGAAAAAATAAAACTTGGGTAAAGGAAAAGAGTGTAACGTAATCTAGTTGGGGTACTCCCCCTCAAGTCTGCATCTACCCTTGATATTTACATTAATCAAGGGTGTTTGTAAAATATGTGCATTTCAATACTTGTCACATTAATTACCTTAGCGAAGGCACACAATAGAGGAATATAATTCCTTTAATTCTCCCCCTGTGTGTCGAGCGTAAGAAATTTTCTCAAATTAACTTGCGAAAACGTTGTCAATGAACAAAACCCAATGGGAAAAATAAACATCGGTCAAAGTGAAAAGGGAGTATGGTGCACTAAAACCTACACATCAATTACTTTTGACTACGATATAATAATTATGCTCTTTCTTCAACATTGTTTACATTCGCAAAATTAAAATGTGGGATGATGCATATTATGTTGTCTCATAAAAAAAACCTTACCAAGTAACAAAATCCAATGGGAAAAAATAAACCTTGGTCAAAAGGGAGAAAAGAAAAAGAGTACAATGCACCAATATAACTGATGATAAATAAGTATGTAATGACTCCCCCTGAATGCAACACATCAATAAAAATTCAATATGTACTTGATATATACTTTTCCCAAGGTATCACGTATTGATGGATAGTCTACACGGGGGTATGTATCTGAAGGGTTACTGCGGGGAGTAACTAGAGAGAAGTCAGAGCAAGTAAGAGAGAGAAAGTGTATTGAATATATGAGTTCAAAGTGTATTCCGAATCTGGTTTACAAAGGGAAAATGGGGTGCTATTTATAGTATTAATAAATGCGAGACGGGAACACGTGTCAAGCATCCAACGGCCGAGGGGTCACATCAACCGGGTGTCATTGGCATTCGCATTTGGCCACATTTAATGCGACGGTTGGATGTGACGTTGTACTTGGTACGGCTACCCAGGCGCATGTGGAGAGGATATTCTTGTCGAGGAAGGTACCCTCGGCTGTAGATGATTAGCCGAGGGCTCTTCCTGTCGAAGGCCCCTTAAGGCCGAGGGCTCCAGGTGCCGAGGGCTACTGTTTTTTGTCGTTTTCTCCCAGTAACTTTGTATGCTGAAAATAGCCTGTCTGTGAGTATCTGGAGCCTTCGGCCAAGGGGCCGAAGGCACCCCCGATGTGCTTTGTTGGCTGCTTAGTACTTGGGGCGCTGTGATTTGGGCCTGTTGCGCTTCCTGGGCCTATTGGGCCTTGGTTAGAGCAGTAAGAGTCTGTGGGCCGGGGGTCCCTGGGCCATATACTCCATCACGAGTCCCTCACTCATTTTGCCGAAAGGTACTTGAGGGAAAAGGAGTAATTTGTGCTTGTCCTCGACCGTTGTTTCGTTGTAGCTTGTAATGTTGTGAGGAGTTTGTTGTTTGCATGTTTCTGCCGAAGGCAGTCCCTCAGTTACCCACATTTCGGGACTTGAGGGGTCATTTTTTTTATATCTTTGTATTTTGAGATTTTTCTCGAAGGGGTCCTCCAGTCCCCCACTCCTTGAGGCACTTGTAAAGCGGTGAAAAGGAGTAGAGTAGTGCTTGCCTGCAATATGTAGCCGAGGGGTGACGCTTTTCGTTTCATTTTGGGGGGATGCCTCGTTAAAAAACCTCATTAGAAAAAACCATGTGGGAAAAAACTCTAATGAGGGAAAAAGAGTGCACCGAATTCCCCCAATGATGAATCGAAAAGGTGAAACCCTGGTCTGAAATGTGTGGCAGTATTCTTGCCGAAGGCTATCCTTGTCTGAGGGCGCATGTGTTGCTTTGCCGAAGGCTCGCTTTTGATATCCCGGGAGATGCCGAAGGGGAGCCCTCAATTCATGAGAATGAGGGCGCGATGAATGTAGGTGATATTTCCTGTGTTGTCGAGGGGTCCCCTGTTTGTTGATAAGTTGGGGGCCGTGGTGCCCCGAGGGGTTTCCTTGTTGCGTGGTCGGGGGGGATAGTTGATGAAGGTTCCCGAGGGGTCTACCCGTTGCTAAGTCGTGGGCTCTTGGAGGAGAAAGGCCGAAGGCACTTGTGATGTTGTATGAGGAGAAAGGCCGAGAGTACCTCTGTGATTTCAGAATGTAGCCATTGTAATAGAGCCGTTGGAATATGTAATGTCGGAAATATAGCCGTTGGGGGGGCTTCCACGTGGCACGTATTCACTGGCTGTCTGCGGGCGGGTGTTACCGATTGGGCGAAACGACGGTAAGTAATGATGACTCTGTAACCGGAGGCCCGGTTTTCAGGCCCAAACCCGGATCTGGGTGCCTATAAATACCCCAAGGCCAGGCCATTCTCCCTTTACGCATCCTTGTTGCAACGAAGTGCTGGCAAAAAATTTCTAGAGAGAGAAATTATCCCTCGGTCAAATCAAACTTCCCAAAGGTCAGTTCTTGCTTCACTCTTTGCTCCTTAGTATTCTTAGCCATGTGGCCTTAGGTTAAGCGTTAGAGCTCTCTAGAAAACCTTTAGGATCCCTACTTCCTTAGTAAAAATGTCATCTGCAAGTGATTCCCAAGACATCTCGAGGGAGCCCTCGGTCGAGGATGAAGTCATCTCCGATTTGGAGTCTACCAGTGAGCAGCCCTCGGCTGGTGATGATGCCGCCCTGGCCATGGAGGTACAGAAAGATCTGGTGGCGGAGGCTGAGGCGGAGGACTTTGAGCAAGTAAATGAAGACGAGGAGCTGGCCCTCGCCGTTCAAGTCGATGAAGAAGAGGAGCAAAAGGAAAGCATGAAGGTCACCGTCGCTGCCCTTCCCCCTCGGAATGGTCTCGGGGAGGCGAGTAGCTCCCGGCCGTTGAACCCGACGTCTCTCAGGGTAGCCCCCGGCAAGAAGAAGAATGTTGCCGCTCCCAAGAAGAAAGGTAGCGTCGCTGATCAGGGGAAGCCGGTTGACATGCCCGAAGGCTACGCCTTCCTCAATACGGTTGCCCTCGAGATAAGGTCAAAAGCTGATAGGGCCGAATGCTATGTGACCCAGCTTCATGTGGGGCCCTTGGCGACGGTGATAGAACTAGGACCTGATGATGTCCTCTCCCGGGCTCCCGAGGGATGTATAGATGTTCACATTCTCTCGGGGTCAATGGGCCTTCGGTTCCCACTGCATCCATTCCTTCGGGAATATCTTAGGTACGTTGGCCTGGTCCCCTGTCAACTGACACCAAACAGCCATTCGTACATAGACAGATTTCTCCATCTCTGCAAGTCACGGGGGGTAACACCTAGCTTGGAGTTGTTCTTCCAAAGTTTCAACTTATGCCGGGGGGGGGGGGCATGCAAATGCCGAGGGGTTCACCAACTTGCAACAGATAGCCCAGTGGAAACTC